GCCCAGCAAGGATGGGGATGTATAAAAGAACCGGCAAGGCCCAGGGAGAAATGACGCAGCTGAAATGCCAATGGGGATTTTTTTGAGGGGAGGGGGGATGAGGGGAGTAATAGAGAGGACACAGAAGTGCTGGGGCAACAGGAAGCCAGCTGGCAACACCCAGACCAGATGCGAACACCTTGCCCATTGATTCTTGTACCAAGACCTTTGGCCAAGCTCAGAACAGGGTTTCTGTAGCAAAAAGTCCCTTTTCTGATGTAATCAAATATCACATGCAAAAAAGACAAAGCCAACACAGACACACAACCCCTTAAAAAGACACAAAAGGGCTGAGTTTTTTGCAGTTGCCATAGAAATGCAGAGAAGGAGCTGACAACCGCAGAGCATTTCTGAGAAAGGAGGGGATCAGGGGAAGCGTGAGGTGGGCTCACTCGAGGGCGACCTGGGCGAGCGGCCGCATCCGTGTGCCGCTGCTCAGTGCAGAGGCGGGATGCAGCCGCAGAAGCAAGGCTGAGCATCAGCTGCGAGTGGTGGCTGGGGGCCAGGACCCACCCCCAGCGGGGTCCTCCAGCAACGGGCAGCTCCCAGCACCCAGCAGACGCACCCACCAGGACCTGGTGTGATGGATGAACCCCAGCCCCGAGGAAAGGTCTGTGGAATCATTTCACTTCGATCAGAAACGCCTTTTTTCTTCCTTTGATTTCTGTGCAAACCAAAACTTTGAGGGACAAATATTTTGAGCCACCCTCTACTCTTCGGGCTCAAATAAAGGAACTCCAACACCGAGCACAGCTTGGATCAGAAGGCAACATGAAACGGGACCTTTCACTTTTAGACCATACTTAAGGGTTTCATTTTCCTTCATTTCGCTGGCTCTTTCCCCACATTTAGCAGAGGCATTCCACACTGGCAAAGCATCCAACGGACCTAAACTTGCATCACTTCTCAGTCCACACAAAAAGCAGTCGGAACTCTAAGGCAGAGCCTCCTGTCCCAGGTCCTACCGCTCCCTGCAGCACCCACCCCATCTCCGCACAAGACAAAGCCGGAACACCTCATCCGCTTCTCCATGACGTCGCTGATGGAGGAGACTTCTCAAACAACCTGGAGAGTGCAGACACACGGCTACGGCCAAGCGCCTGGGAGTCTCCTGCTGAGGCAGCGAAGTGGCTGTTGGCAGCACGCCTTGACTTGGGTGGCACCTCTTCGACGGTGCCCTGCATCTCCTGACCCGGCCAGAGCCTCCGCCTTGGCATCCGACACAGGAAAAGGGCCAGTCCAAAGAGACATGAGCCTGCTGTCATGGCCAGGCAGCGATAACGCTGTTGCCCCTGGAGAGAAAGGCTTCACAGTTTGGAAAACTTATTTCTCTTGAGAGGAAGACCTCGAAAGATACAAAATGGTCTGATGGAATTTGTCTGATTTTTTTATTATTTTCTTCAATTTCTTCAAAAGCAAAAATCAAACACATCTGTTCTGCGCTTTCCCCCTTGTTTTCCATTATCAGATCAGAAAACTGACAGCCGTGGGTGAAATCTTCCACATTGGACAAAAAGCCTTTTATTGAGAGGCAGGAGAGCAGGTGGCCCACAGTGGCCCTCCTCCAGGTACCATCCTCACAGCAACCCCTCGGCACTGGAGGGATCTGCCTGCACCACCTTCAACCCCTCAACTCAGCCCTGAGCACCGTCTGGCTGCCACTGGGCTCTCCTGTCACCCTGGAGGGGACACCTCCAGGCCCCCCAGCCACCAGTGCTGACCTCACTCCTGACGAGCACAAGGCAGAGGTGCCACCCTCATGGCGAGGGCTGGTTAGAAGAGGTGGGATACGGGAATCGCCTGCCGCACACAGCCCAGGAGACGTCAGATGTTGGCCAGCTAGGGAGGAGTGGCCAGGTGGAAAGCCCTGGTATCTCCCACAGGCACTGCTGTGGCCACATGTCACCCCTCGAGGGGACCTGCCACCCTGACCTCCTGCTGGCCTCCTTACAGGTGAGCTTAGGATGGTGCACAAAGCTTCTCTGGGGCTGGTCAGCATCTGCGGACGCTGTCGGCATCCTCACCCATGGAGCACCAGGACAGCCCTCAACTCGCAGAGTGGCTCTGTTTGCTTTGCTTTTCAGACAGAAAAAGAACAGCAGGCAAGCTGTTAGCCATCAGCAGGGTGTAACAAGGCTTTGGAAGGCACCCCACAAATTTTAAGAGGTCAGGATGGACCCTCCTGTTCCCCACGCTGTGCGAACACCGCCCCACTCTCAGCCAAAAGCCTCTCTCCCCTCCGTCGGCAGCAGTCCTGGGCCCAGACGTGTTTCCTTCTCACGCTGACACCCACAGCCCAACTTTCTGCCCTGCCAGAAGCCTGCCCACAGCCACCCTCCCGCACGCAGGGACAGCAGCCGCACTTCATCCACGTCTGTTTTGCAGGACGGGCGAGCCAAGGACTCCACATCTCCATGAGCATCCAAGCACCTGGACGGCCTGTTTATCCACTGGTGAGTACCCAGTCTGCTGGGCTGCTCGGGCAGGACAGGACGCTGAAAGGTTTTCCATTAACAAAGGGCTGCGGTGCCGTGGCATCGTCCCCCCAGCCCCAGGCACAGAGAGGGGAGGACACGGAGCCGAGCTGCAGGACCAGCTGCCTCGCAGGTGCTGGCGCGGCCGGGCGACACGCAGCAGGGGAGTCGTAAAGGTGGAGGTTTGATATTTAGCCTGTGTCGCTGTCATTCGTTTCTTTAAATGCCTTTAGCTTCCTTCTAATAAAAGAGAAATCATAAAAAAACCCCACAAAGGCTCCTTCATCACCGGCGAATATCAATGTGGTGAAGCGGAGTATTAGTATGCAGGGTGCCCGCTCCATCTGCATGTTGTATTCCGTGTGACAACATCCTGGAATACAGATTTGGGCCACGAGTATCCCGAGAGGTATTAGCGATCGTCTATCAGACAGGACAAGGAGCAGTCCCTGCTGTTGTAAACAAGGGGTGTTTTTCTCTGCCTCTTTCTCTGGGGGGAGTTCAGTGATTTGAAACAAGCTCATTCCTGCATTTTTTTAGTTCCTGTTCTTCAGCAGAGTAGCGCAGGCATCTTCCTCAGATGATTAAAGAAATAAAACTGGAGGCGTAATAAGCACCCCATCACCAGGGTCCTTCAGCTGCTGGCGGTGTCAGTCCTTCCCAAACCGAGCACTCGCTTTCCATGGGGGTTCTCCCAGCCAGAGAGCATCCCGACAGCCCCAGCACAGGGGACAAAGCACCCAGGGCACGAGGCCAGGCCTGGCAGAGGAAGGGCTCGTCCCCTTGGGTTTGGTGGCAGCAAGCAAATCTGGTGAGGCACCTCCGCGGCATAGATGGATGTGGGGCAATCCGATGGTACCACTGATGGACACACAGAAATCCCACCGTGTGGACAGACGTGGAGCATCCCCATGGCAAGGACAGACAAGGGGAAAACACAGAGCACAGGTGGACATAAGGTATCCTCATGGCACTGCTGGACACGGGGCACCCCATGGCAGGACATCCCCACGACATGGACAGATGCCGGGCATCCCCACGGCACAAGCAAACATGGGACATCCCCAAGGCGGGGATGGATGCGCAAGGAGGATGGAGGTCTCCTCACACACGTATGAGCCACTGCATCACCAGATTCTGGCAGGGACCAGCAGCCTGCCCGCCCCTCCGCCCCCCGCACCAGCCGGGTGCCGCTTGCTGCCGGCGCAGTGCCTGCAGGAGCGTGGTGATGGATCGTTACAACGCACGCACAGCCGTCTAAGTAAAAGCCTTAATAAGAATTCATTCATTTTATAAACTCTCGGCGCGATCCACAGAGGGAAGTTAGATTGCCCAGTCTTACAATATTCTGTGTAAACACTGACACGCGTCTAGTAATTTTAACGAGATCAATTTGCAAAGGAGACCAACGGTGGAACAAAAAAAAAATCAAATTAAACACAAGGGAAACATTGACTGGGAGAGGCTTTAAGGAAGCGAGCAGAAGAATACAGAGAAGGATGGACAGATGGACAGAGAGGCACACGAGACAAATGGACCTACCTCCAAAGCCATGAAAAACAAGTCTGTAAATCAGTATCAAAATCCTTAGGTCCGCAAGATGGGGAAAAAAAGTCCTCCACAGCCATCTTCTGTGCTCTGGGGGCCTTAGCAGTCTGTTTCCCAGAGCATCCTTCCTCCTTCTCCAGCAGTCACCAACCCAAGAATAACCACACAGCAGCTCCTCCAGTCCCGTCCCCGCCGCGCCGGACGGCCCTGGCGTCCTCCTCCCTGCCTGGGGATGCCGAGCGCCTGCTTCGCCCCTGGGCGCTCCCCTGCTACCTCCCACTCCCACGGCCCCCACCAGGCTGGGAACCGGTTGGCTGCTGGCCGCAGGGTCGGCGGTGATGTTCGGTTACGGACAAGCAGTGAGTCCACGGTAGGTTGACAACGTACACACGCGCAGGAGCGCACACACACACGGGAACACCTCCTTCCATTTTCCAGGATGGATTATTATTTGTTTTTTTTAATCCTTTTTTTCCTTTTTGCAAAAAAAATGCAAGCAAAAGAGAAAAAAAAAACCCAAGGTTTTCTATTGAAGGTACATCTCTTCTTCAATATGAAGACATTAACTGGATTGAGTCGGATCCCCCATGCAGTGGTCAGCGAAGTCCTTTGGTAGTTGCCGGAGCGGCACCCAGGTAGGACGGCAGGGAGCTGCTGAGACGTCTGAGGACGCTTCCACCCGGTCCATGAGCAGAGAGGGGAGCGGTGTGAGCAGGGAAGGCCGGGGCAGGGAGCGAGAGCAAAAGAAGAAAAGACAAGGAAGGTGGTTTCTCCGGACGGGATGCTCCATCCCGTGCCTCTCCCTTCCCCAACAGCCCCTTCCTCCTCCTCAGTTTCGACCACTGCTCACTGGTGGTGGGATTGGAGTCTGGTCTCTAGGGTTTGGGGTTTGCTTCCCCAACCCACATTGGTTTGTCTTCATTATTTTTTATGTTTGTTTTTTGTTTTGTTTTTTTAAATATATGATTTGTACATATTTATACGTATTTATACGCTGTTCCCCATGACATCGGTAAGTGTGCTTCTGTGGGCGAGGAACGGAAGTCACCAGTTAAGAGATGAGTCCCAGGAACATCCTTCGTCGGCGGTCACAGTCCACAGGCAGCGTCGGGGACCTCTCCAAACGCGAGCCCGCAGCACCTGTCAGTTCCTCCCCTCCCACCTCTGCCCCTCCGCTGCGTGCCCTCCCCGTCCCCTCCCCGTCGAACAAGGGACGTCATGCCATCGAGGTCGGAGACTGGCTCATCTGTACTCGCATGGACTGGATGCTGTTCAGGATCTTCTTCTGGTGCCCAGCCAAAGTCACCCCTATTCTCAGGAGGTCTCTAGAAGAGAGACAGACAGACAGACATCAGTGGGTAGCCGAGGGTTGGTGTATCTGTCTGGCTGTCTCTAAGGGAGGTGAGGGATGTAAGCTCAGCTGGCCCGTGCCTTTCAGCAGAACAGCAGACACCAAGCTCAAGCGCCACCCCATGAGAATCACTGGGGGCCAGGTGGGACCGAGAGCAGGGAGACACCCACACACTGACCCCCAGATGGTGAATGCAGCCACCTCCGGACTTAGGGTGCTTCTGCTGACCAGTGTGAGGTCAACCCCAACCTGCCCCAGGCAGCACTCAGCTTTCACGCAGCCCCAGCCTGGCACCCAACTCACTCGGATGTCATCTGGGCAACAAGCTGCAGGGAGGTGAAGCCAGCGGTCAGGAAGCTGTCCCGGTACTGGCTCATCTTCACGGCACTCAGCCAGTCGTCTACTGAGGTAAAGGCAGTGAAGTCGGGGATGGAGCGGTCGAGGAGGGGCTGAGAAGGCCTGCAACAGGACACACCGCTGGGGACAAGCCCGGCCGGCACCGGGGGCTGCCATGTGTGAGCCCAGCCAGCGCACAGGCTCGCTCCCCAGTCCACCCCCCTGCGCCCTTGTGCTCTCCACAGCACTGCCCTGCTCCCACCACATGCCTGTGACAAGGAAGCCCACAAGGAAGGCCTGTCCCATGGGAATACCCCTCTGCCAAGCAGCGCTTTACAACCCCGCTCGTGATCCAGCTGCGGGAGCCACAGGGACAGAGGCACCAGCAGAGCAGACGCTGCGCTCGCACGGTCACACGCCATAAAGAATCAATAGCAAAGAATTATTGCTGTTGCTCGACTGAAAACTACATGTTCTTTGTCTGACTGTCAGGCAGAACAAAGACAGAAACCCCCCGCTCCTAGCAAACGATTTATGAATTCCTGTCCTTCCCACCGGCAGCACGAGCCGCTCGGG